CCCCCCCCCCCCCCTGCCACAAAGCGCGCTCCACGGGCTGCTACTAAGCCGGCCGCGAAGGTCGCTGCAAAACCTGACTTAAAGGTCGCTGCGAAGCCCGCTGCCAAAACTACAACTCGAGGGAAGACTGCGGGCACAAAGCGAGCATCCTCACCAGAGAGCAGTCCTCCACCACCAGCGAAACGCTCCAGGGTGGCTTCCAAAATCAACGGCACAGAACAAGTAGACGAACAAAAGCCCAAGCCTGCACCTCGTGTGCGGAAAACCTCCGTTCCGCCTCAGCGGAGGGTGATGGCGCAACTAGTACCATACTTCAACCCCCTTCCAACCCCCACAGAGCATATCCGACCAGCTCCGCAGCTGTTTGTCTGGGGAGCAGGCAACTTTGGGCAGTTTGGCTTGGGTGCGGATGCTCTTGGGGAGTTCAATAAGCCAAAGAAGAACACTTGGATCGACGCGAAGATCGAGGAAGGCTCCTTTGGCAGCCCAGGAGCGAGCCTGGAAGCCATTGCAGCTGGTGGATTGCATTCACTGTTCCTTGACGAGAAGGGCACGGTACGTTGGTTCCCTGTGCGTGGTGTGATGTCCCCTTACCCTGGGTACAGATATGGTCCTGTGGTGTCAACGACGACGCTGCACTAGGTCGGGTTACAACCAACGTGCCACATCCCGAGAACCCAGATGAATTTATTGATGTTGACGAGTTAACGGCAGTACCACATCCTGTGCAATCTCTCGTGGACGATGGCTTCCGCGCTGTTCGCATTGCTGCCGGAGACAACATTTGCGCTGCCATCAACTTGGCGGGGGACCTCCGCGTATGGGGATCATTTAGGGTATGTTTCCCCGCGTGCTCTTGTGCATTTTATTGACTACTTTCTAGGGTGCAGAAGGCGTGTTGGGTTTTTCCAGTGACCACAGGCATCAATTCTTGCCGACGTCAATTCTAGAGCTGAAGTCAAGACCTGGGGACTATGAAAAGTTTTCCTCTGTCGTGGCGGGGAACAACCATCTGCTCGTCCTTACCACACATGGAAACGTTTATTCGCTAGGAGCGGGAGAACAAGGCCAGTTGGGGCGCAAAGTTCTCGAACGACGAAAAATTCATGGAACCGTTCCCGAGAAGATCGTCCTTGGATCACGATCGCATAAAGCAGTGGTCATCGGCGCGGGCAACTATTCTTCCTTTGCCGTTGATGAGAATGGCGTTGTCTGGGCTTGGGGACTCAATAATATGGGTCAAACGGGAACTGGATTCACAAGTGCCTCTGCCGATGGCGAGCTCCAGCTGCCGAAGAAAGTGGTTGGGTTGAGTAAGAAGGAACTCGGGGGCGAAACTACTGTTGTTCAGATTGCCGGCGGAGAGCACCACACATTATTCCTCACCTCTGACGGCAAAGTTTATGCGTGCGGACGATCTGAAGGTGGCCAGCTTGGTCTTGCAGATGATGACGTGGCATTCGAAGGTCGTGAGTTCCCTGATATGCTTGTCACACCAGCGCTCGTAACTTTCCCGGACGACGACGACCCTGTTGTTCAAATATCGACAGGGATCCACAACAACCTCGCCGTCACACAGAATGGTGCGTTGTATGCATGGGGTGCAGGACCACAAGGCGAACTCGGTATAGCCGGAAAGGCAGAGTGTCGGACGCCAGAAGTGATTGTGCGTCGGCAGGGAGGATCGTTCGCCGCTGTTGCTGCATCGTGTGGTGGCCAGCACTCTCTTGCGCTGCTTCGCAAGAAGACATAAAGTCCGAACATTACCGCTCGATGTCCGACATACGGATGCTAGAAAGCTATTAGAGTAATATCTGTTGTGTTATGAAATATTTTTCAGCTGTTTATTTTATTGTAATTCGGACGGCAACTACGGGAGCACCGAGCGTTTTGCGACGGACATCTTTGGGGATGAAAAACTGAAAAGATTACACTAGGTATATGGAGGCAGCGAACGTTACAAGATGATACCCTAGAAGACATCACAAGTTTAGTATCCTAATACAAGTCGTCTGTTCAGCCTCTCCGAAATTATGTCTCAATGTAATGTAGCTGAAAGACGGCCGACGATATACTCTTCTGTCGTCACTGGCGCGTATTTGTGCTCCTGCCCGACATTACTGCAAGTTGGGAGGCACGCAATTTGCGCACCCGCATTTGGATTGCAGAAGAACGCGATGGATTGTCGTGCAGGCGTGACGCTTTCCGTGGCACTGACTTTCATAGCGGGCGGGGCAACAACGCGGTGGAGGGTCGAGCGGAGGACATCATTGCTCCAACGCGCCAAAAGATCGCCTGCGTTAATAACAATCGTACCAGGCTAGGAGAGGAGACAAAGGCGTGAGAAAGGTATAAAAGAGGAAACAGAAAACTAGGCGTACGATGGGAGTTGCAGGCTGGTAGTGTTTGGTGTGGGGATTCTCGACTTCAAGACCGCCGACCTGAAGCGACAAAATGGGATGAGACGGTAAAGTCACTCTCACAGTTGAACACTTACGGAGTCTTGGAAGAGGAGAGTCAATGTGCCATAATCTGTGCAGCGGGTATTAGCCTGGAACATCTACTATGAAAGGGGGAGGTCGTCGCACCTGAGTGAGCACCCGCCCTTGCTTGTCCTTCCTGTTCAAGAAATTGTCTCCGGATTGGAGGATAATTCAACAAGCGGAGATTATGATACTGCTCATGAATCTTGTCTTCGAAAAACGACTCGTCCAGCTCCAAGCCAATAGCAATTGCTCTCATTACGGACGTGTGTAGCTCATGGCAGGTCTGGAAGAATTGCAGCATCGTCTCGCGGAAACCGGGAACGGCGTCCTCCTGCGGCCAGCGATTCTTCCATATCTTGTCCCAATCACGCCCAATCTCCATGGTCTCTTTAAAATCCGGCGCCTTTTCTCGTAATTTGGCGATTTCGTCGGCGTCGGAGGATTGTGTGACGCGTTCGCGGCCAATTTGAATAAACCCGCGGTTGGCACGAGGATCTTCCCATGCAAGCTGGGACTACGGTAATTTGAGCAGGCTAAGACCGGGGGGAAGACAACTGATACAGCACCTTCACTTCAATTGGAAGACGGAAGAATTCGGCGCTCTGGTCGATAATGTCTCGCATCAATGAACAGCCAGAAGAGCAGAAGCCATGCACACCTTTTGGAAGACGTGTTTAATTGTTGAATCTGGAATACCATGTTTTTCGAGGTAAATGAAGCCAACTTCCTTGAACCCGTTCACGATCTCGTCTGCAGTCCGTCGTTTTTCTGACGGCGAACTGGCCGAACGAAACTTGCTAAAGTCGATCAGCGGTATCCTGAATGTTGAATCTGACTTAACATCCTAGAATGGTTCCCTATTTAAAACACATATATTTCAATGACTCTTAAGCCTTACCTCGGCCAACGTTGCAAGGGTCCGCCGCTCTATGCGCCTGCTTGACAAACCACAAACCCTCATACTGAAGCCTGCATGGCTGACGCTCCTAAAGTGCACCTTGGGTGCCGACGAAACAAAAATCATGACGAGCTCCGCAAGAGTCACCCAAAGATATGTATGTTTTCAGAGATACACGGCACTTAGTAGATAGAGTGAAGATCCAACGTTCCGACGGTCCTTATCAGAGACATGGGACGCTCTCCGCATTAGGCACCCCGCGGCCCGGATCGAGACGCGGACAATGCCGGGCGGAGTTCTCGTATTTCATTGAGCGCACAGGGAACAAGATCAGCGACGATACTCTTCCTCTTCCCATGTTTCGATTCATACCATAGACCAGTAAGGATTCATCATGCCCACCCAGCCGAATGAAAGCCAACGCAGGGCCACTGGCAGCGAAATGAGCGGAGAAGTTCCCCCTCCATACAGTGAATTGCCTCCAACGAACAACAATACGCGCGGTCCCTAGTCAGTAGATTGTATGTATCCGTGGGCTAAGTTGAACCTTCACTAGTCTCAGTAATCAAAACCAACGCAGCCGACGCACCAGCAGGGATGCCTATGCTCCTTCAAACAACATGTGAGCTTGGCTGAGTGCGTCGTACATTGGCATGGGTCTGACCTGCGATTTACAGACCAAGTGAAAGGAGTCCTCTGAATGGAAACACACGCAACACACGGCCAGCATATTCCACCTTCAGTAGCTACACTTTTGTCCACTTGGCTACCAGCGAACGATTCAAGCGGCGAGCTGTACTATGGCCCATCGTCTTTATCTTTATGGTTTTCATGTTAGTGGGATCCGTGATGATGCAGACGGTGCGCTTACAGCAGTGCAAGTTGTCACTTATTCCCAATCCGGAGCAGAGGGAAATGGCACGACGAGAATGGGATCGGGAGCGCGTAGCTCACCAACAGGAAGTCTCCGGATGGAATCGCGATCGCGCTGCGCACGAGAAGGAGATGGCTAAGGTGCGGAGCGACTGGAACCAGGAGAGGATGGACCACCAACGCGAGCGAGACCAATGGCTGCGCGAACGCAAAGAGTGGGAGCAGAAAGTCGAGGAGAGGAAAAAGTGAGACCAGCGCCAGCGTTTGGAAGAAGGCAAGCGGATGGGTTTGTACTGGGAATCAGCTGAGGGTAGGCAGTGTGTCGCCTTCGGCACTCGTGAGTACGTGGCGCAGCTTGGGTTCAATCCCATGACAACATGCAAGGAGATGCCGCTCAATATTGAGGATCAAGTTATGGACCCTCTTTTGTGCCAAGTGAGGGTGAGCAATCATCCTTGCACATCATCTATGTTGTTGTTTGATTGTACAAACTAGGGTAAGAAAGAAGTTGAAGGCCATTGGCACGTGGATGGTGAACCTGGATGTATGCCCTACTGGGGTAGTGTGGATGATAAGGTCCGTATTTGGTTTCTCCTATACATACGGCGATAGGCCTGATAGAATACTTTAGGGATGTGTGGCTCCTGGAATACATGTATGCCCAAATCCTCCAAAGTGCCATATCTATAACACTGTCTTATTTAATATTTACAGAGCTGGGAGGCGCGTCTCTGGGATCTTTCTCAAGGGGATAATTGGCTTGCAATCTGTAGCACCGCTCCTGCTGATATTGCAGGCAGGCATTTTGATAGCCCTACATCTTGTCAGGACCGAGTGAGTTGCTGGCTACATTCTTCGTTTGTAAGCTGATGACTCACCCATCTTGCCGCAGGGTTTCTTCAACGGCATCGTTGGGGTGTTCCATAGCGCTGATCCGAGTTGCTGATCTGATGAGTAAATGAAGTGGATCACCCCGGTGTACGACATTGTCACGCGCTGTAAGAACGAGTTTGCCGTTGAATTCGCGCTTTTATCATGGATTTCAAATCGGGATGTTCGCCTCGTATTGTAGAGCATGTGCGATTGTATAGCTCTACTTGTGGCTCGTGGATCAAGCAGGAATCCCTCAAGTGTGGAGTTTTTGGCAGTGGGCATTGAAATCATTGAAACCTCTGTAAGTTCGTCGCGAAGTTATCATAGAGTCCCACTACGGGTCCCAGCCCAGCCAATGAACACCTTGTTCTCTGTCAATTCCGCAGCGAGAATATTCTACTTACATTCCTGTTCACGACGATTCGCTGTTCATGCAGCCAATGGTGTTTAGACCTTTATCATGCTGCACTATACCATCCACGCACATCCGCTGTGGGCCAACGCGGATCTCATGCAATACACAGTATAAGAAGGGACTCATTCCTGACTATGAACCTCATCCCCGACTACCAACCTCAACACTCAATTTACAATGTCTGTGAGTACCGGCTCAGCTCAAACAACATGCTTGAGCCT